GAGGGTAGCCTCCCTGTCCCCAGCTGCATCTTGGAGGACTGGGGTGAGCTCAGACCCAACCCTGGGAGCCCTTGCTGAGCACGGAACCCCCACCTCGCTGGGGCGTGGGAGGTGGAGAACACATGCTGGAGCAGAATGAGTTTACTTCCAGTTTCTGCCATGGATATCAGCTATTAATCTCCCCAAGCCTTGATTTCCTCATCTGGAAATAGGGTGCTTCATATTTTGTTTCATGTACCTTCACAACTTCCCTCCAGACCTACAATGATCCTGGTACACCCAGTAAAAGCGGCTCCTCTCCCACTGCGGTCCCAGCCTTGCACCAACTGTCTTAGGACAATTTCTAGCTTAAATGGTTCACCCTGGCGATTCCCTCTTAAATTATCCCCAGGGGCTCCATCACCCTCTTTTCCTCATCTTCCCTTTGTCATCAGCCTTCTCGGCGGGCCACTACCTGTTTCAGAATAAAGACTTAGACATTTGAGTGGAATAACATTTTTTCATTAGGGTTTTCCTCACCAAGTTCTACATAACGGCAATAATTCATAACACACTTTCACATATTTTAAAACGTTTTAAGAGAAATGTTTTTGGTAATCAGTCTGAAGCTGAAGCTGTTTGAATGTAGTAAATACAAATTTGCTATCAGTAATTATGTAATTATGCAAAATTATGTGCTCAGGAGAGCTGTCTACTAGTATTATGGTATAATTAACAACTAAAATGAAAGATTAATATTATTAAAATTATCCTTTAATCAGGTAAAAATAAGCTAACTTGAAAAGGAAAAGCTCTAGTGGGATGGATTTCAGGTCTAGCACTGTAATTTGGAATGACTGCTGAGAAATCCATCATTAAAATAACCGACTCAGAATATCCTCTACACTTGTGACTTGTAAACTGAGACCAGAAGTATTTTTTCAGTAATGAGACTGAGGTATCATCTTTCTGATCTCTAAATCTCACTAATCTCCTAATCTCACTGCTCAATCTACCTGACCAAGTACAGACTGGCCAGTGGGCACTAATGACCATGGCATTGTCAAGGTCAGTGGGCACCCCAAAACCTGTGGGCCAGGCCTCTCCTGGCTTGTCCTTCCTCCTAAGACCCCTTTTCCTGTTGGGCGGGG